AGAAGAATAGCCTTGCTGAGTAAAGTATTCTTGGCTGGCAACTTTTGTGCTTTAATATTTTGAATATATCATCCCATTCTTTTCTGGATTTAGGGTTTCTGATGAAAAGTCTGATGTTAGTCTGATTGGGGCTCCTTTATAGGTGACTTGATGCTTCTCTGTTGCAGCTTTTAAGAGTCTCTGTCTTTGAGTTTTGCCAGTTTGATTATAAGATGTCTTGGAGAGGAACTTTTTGGGTTGAATATGTTTGGGGATCTTTGGGACTCCTGAATCTGGAGATCTGTGACTTTCCCTATACCTGGAAAGTTTTCTTCTATTATTTCATTAAATATGTTTTCAATGCCATTTCCTTTTTCTTCCCCTTCTGGAATACCCATGATTTGGATATTTGAGTGCTTAAGGTTGTCTGTTATCTCTCAGATTTTCTTCAATTTTTTAAATCCTTTCTTTCTTTTTTTTTTTTTTTTTGGTCCACCTGTGTTAATTCAAACAGCCCATCTTCAAGGTCAGAAATTCTCTAGTCTGCTTGTTCTAGCCTGCTGGTTAAACTCTCTGTTGTGTTTTTTATTTTGTTGAATGAATCCTTCAGCTCCACAAGCTCTGCTACATTCTTTTTCAGGGCACTGATTTCTTTGTACATTTCTTCTTTCAGGTCCTATATATTTTTTCTCATTTCATTGTGGGGTTTTTTTTTTTTTGTCTTTTTTTTTTTTACTGACCGGTAACAGGATCGCAACCCTCGGTGTCGCGCCCATACCGGAGACCGGCAATGGGATTGCAACCCTCGGCCTCACGCCCGCACCATGCTCAGCCAGTGAGCGGGAACCAGTCTCCACATGGGATCCGAACCCTCGGCAGGAGCACCGCCATGCTCCCAAGCGGCGCACTCTCCAGTGCACCACCAGGCCGGCCCTCATTGTGTTTTCTAACTGAGTTTTCTTGTATCTCCTTTAGTTTCCTTGGAATTGTTGGTCGAAATTCCTTGTCAGTCATTTCAAGGACTTCCTGTTCTATAGGATCTAGAGCTTGAGAGTTATTATTTTCCTTTGGTGGTGTCATACTTTCTTGATTTTTCATATTTCTGGTATCTTTCCTTTGGTGTTTTGTCATTGTGGCAGGGGGTATCACAGTCCACTCATTCCACCCTGATGTCTGGCCTGGATCCTGAAGGGACTGCCAATTCTGGGTGGTGGGGACGGGCCTGAGCTGGGGGTCTCACAGCACCTGCCTGCTCTGGCATGGCTGACTCAGGACATGTGGTCCCAGCAGCTCTCAGGTCTCTCTGGGTGGCAGGGACAGGCCTGGATTGGGGGTCCTGAGGCACATGGCTCCTGCCTGTTCGGGCATGGCTCTTGGGCCTCCTGTTGTTGCTTTTTAATAGTTGTAAATTGGTTGATTTGTGGGAGAGAGTTACACTAGGAACTGTCTATTCTGCCATCTTGAACAAAACTGAGACCCGTTGAATTTTAAACACATCTGTGCATCGCTGTCTTCAAACATACATCCTCAGCCCTGCTGTCCCCTCTGACGTCTCTCTCATATACCCAACTGCATATCCAACATCTCCACTTGGATGAAGATAGTTGTCTACAGAGCCAAAACACAATCCTTGATTTCCACCACCATCCTCCACTAAAACAGAACTAAGCAAACACCTTGCCCCTGACTTTGCCCTTCTCAGTAAATGGCACCACTTTCCCCAGTGGCTCGAGTCATACCTTTGATTCTTCTTTTCCTCTCACAATCTATGAGCAGGTCCTGTTGGTGTTAATGGCAGAGTATGGCCTTTGCACCCATACATCCGACCACTCTTTCCTAACATCTGCATGTAACTAGAACAACGAACATCAGCAAAATCATATGTGTATAACCATAAACCAACATTATTTACCTCCCACTATTCCTTTGAATATGGTCAGTGGAACAACCCTTCCCATGCCACAGATGACAATTTGGACACCACCCCCCCCATGGCTTTCTAATAACTCTCGGGTAACAGAAAGTTCTACAATTACTTCAAGTTAAAAACAGCCTCAATTCAGTAATCAAGTGTCCAGTCCCAGCTGGTAATCAAACTGACATGCTCCAGGTCAGCAACGCCCACTGCCCTAATCTGCCCTGCCACAGCTGGCTGCTGTCAGTGGGGGAGGAAGGCGTGGCCCCTCGGTGTCCTCCACGCCTCGCACTGTTCCTCCTTCGTCAGCTGCTGTGGAGGCTGCTGGCCCTGACACTGTCAAAGCAGAGGAGGGGAAGGAAGGGGGCAGACAGGCTCCTCCTTGTGTGCCACTGTCCTGAGATCACCTCATGTCTCTGGGCTGCATGGGAATTACTGCTGACTCATGTCTCACAGACACTCGTGTGTGCTCTTCTGCAGCCCTGCTCAACTCCACACACTCTCCATAAAACAGGCCAGCATTTCTCCTCCAGTTGGAGAGCCTCCCCCGTCCCTGCCCACTGCCACCAGCTTTGCAGCAGTCCACTCTGAACAGAGGCTCTCTGTTGAGACCCCATCCTCAGCCCCGGTCCTTGCCTCATGCCCACTCCTGCCTGACTACAGCTAGTACACGAGACCCTCACATGCATCCTCCCCCTGCTCCCAACTCCCCGCCCCCACCCCTGCTGCAGCCTAGTGGCTTCTGTCCGTCACCTAAAGGAACATACATCTGAGGGTGCCACAAAAGCCCCTCTCACTGGGTTGGAGCTGAGGAGCATGCTCTCTCCCCAAAGAACCCTTTTAAAAAATTCTGTCTTGGGCTGGCCCGGTGGCGCACTCAGTAGAGTGCGGCACTTGGAAGCGCGGTGGCGCTCCCGCTGAGGGTTCGGATCCCATATAGAGACCGGTCTGCTCACTGGTTGAGCGCGGTGCGGGCGCGACACCAAGGGTTGCGATCCCATTACCGGTCATGAAAAAAGACAAAAAAAAAAAAGGAAAAAAAAAAAATTCTGTCTCATCTCCAGTGACCAGCCCTGTATGCCCACAATGTGAAGAGTGGGTCCCGCCGGTACTCGCCACCTGCCCTGGGGTCTCCCTGGTACCAGTCTCACAACTCACTGCCGCTATTGCACCCTGGTGCCCCAGCCAAACTTCCAAGGCAGCATCCCACAGCACCTGCTTTCTAGACCTTGCCAGGCCTTGCACTCCCAGTGTCCTCTGACTCGCCACTCCACACTCCTCGTCCCTCGTTTTCTTCACAGCACGTGTCGTGATCCTCACCATTGCTGCCTCCTGCTCACCACCGCACAAGCAGTGCCCAGAGCCCAGCGGGTTACCTCTGTGGCCCTTCCTCAGCAGCACCTCCCTCCCCAGGGTCTGCTTCCTGCCCACCCCCTCCCCAGGGGCACAGGGCTGCAGAGCCCTGATCGCATGGCCCTTCATGAGGTGGTGCTGGCGGGAATGTGGCCAGCTCGGAGCTATTTTCAGTGTTTGTCTTTGTGGACACTGTTCCTTGATTGGCTACAGGGAGAGGACAGCCAAGCTCCTCATCACTGCCTTGTGTTCCCTCGATCGAAAAGCGCCTGCCATCAGACACGACTCCCACTCAGGGAGGAATGTGGCTCAACAGACCCTTGGCCAGCTTTTCCTTAACTCCTCATCTGCCACCTGCCAGCTCAACGAGCAAGTGTCGAGCACCTGCTCAATGCCTAGCCCTGTGCTTGGCCTGGTTCCCCATGAACCGATGGGGGAGGCTCAGAGCAGAGGGTCCCAGTCTCTCCCTTTCCTTCTGTCCACCATCATGCCACCAGTACTTAGGGACACAGCTTCTAGGGGCTGGGGAGGAGGCGCAGGGTCCCAGAGACATGTGACCCGAGGCCCACCCTCAGTGCACTAATGACAGGCCCCAGGTGGCAGAACCTCGTGCTCTAGCTGCCCTACCCCCTCTGCACCTGAGCAGAACACACCCTGTGGTGACCCAAAATTCAACAGTCCACCAGCCACAACTTCCCAGATTCCTAGCTCGTGTGCACCTTCCTCCTCCACTTCCCAAAGCTCCCGAGGCACTAATTTAACAGTTCTCATGTCCTGGTGGCTCACAGGACACTTACAGAGGGGGACAGAAGGTAGCAGGAGGAAGCTTCATATTAAAAAAAGAGAGACTAAGGTCCGTTCAGCAGTCAATGATAGAGTCCACCAAGAAGAGCCCCGGATGGAGGGAAAATGGGGGTGAGCTCGTCACCAGGCATCCCCGAGGGCCTCATAATCGACTTCTGTCGTGGCCACCGAATCCAGACTGCCCTGAACTGCTGAGACGGGCTGGCATCCCAGGGAGAGCAGGGAGACCACAAGGGCAACAGTACCAGACAGGCTCGGCGTGAAGGGAACGAACGCACGAGATCCAGGCTCCCTGTCCAGGAGTCCCGGCGCTCCCAGGGAAGTCTTCCTGGGCCTCAGCTCACTGCAGCCAGAAACCCCTGCCCTGCTCCTCACCATCTCCACTGGGAAGGATGGGGGCCACAAGAAGCCTGGCAGGCCTCCCTGTCCCTTGACGCCGTCCAGCAGATCCCAGCAGGGACGGCGTAGCTAGTGGTGAGCAGAGAGCCGCCTACCAGCCCAGGGCTTGGGCAAATGAACTAGCTCTTTCATGGCTCAGTTTCATCATCTGTACAATAGGGTTCCCGAGACGATTCAATGAGTTAACGGGGATAAAACGCTTCACACGGGGCCTAACTTGGAGCAAGTGTGCAGAGAGCGTAACTGTCAGTGCCACGGCCTCCTTCCCCATCAGCAGCGGTAGCATCTTCCCTGGGGTTTTTCTTCCAACTTTTACCACACAGCCCTTTGCACTTTCATAAGGGAGACTGCCGTGTAGACCCCAGCAGGACCTAGGTCAAGAGTACGACTTGAGATTGACCGTGATGAGCCCTTGGGTGGAGCTTCTGGAGGAAGGAGCCTAGGGCTGGGCAGTGGCTCCTAGGTCACAGATGCCCCCCTAAATGGACCCCCAGAGGTTCCAGCCCAGGAGCTCCAGCCCCACCAGGCCCAGGGACAAGATGCGACTCACATTGTAGAGGATGTCAGTCCAGCCCTCCATGGTGATGCACTGGAACACTGTCAAGATGGCAAACAGGATGTTGTCAAAGTTGGTGATACCAAAGTTGGGTCCTGGCCAGTACTCCCGGCACTCAGTGTCCCCCTCACACAGCCGGGCTGGGGCCTCCTTGCCACAGGGGAAGTCGCCCACAGGCTCTGCCTCTGTGAAGAGGAGAAGGAAGCAGACCCTGAGCTCAGAAACACCAAGCCCTGCGACCTGCACTGGGATGCACGTGCTCCAGAGAACTGACTGCGGGGGCGCAGGAGCCAGTCACCCACAGAGACCCTCCGCCAGCTTCCCAGTGCCCCTCCTTGCACCTGCATGGGCCTCTCCCCACCCCCCACTTGCCTCCACCTGTGCTCAGGACCTGCCCTCTCAGGAGCCACTGGTCAGCCTCTCCTTCTCTCCTGGAACCTGCCCATCATCTTTTAAACACACTCGGGATCCATTAACCTTAAAATCAAAACGATGAACTCCTAACCTCCAATCCTTAGCACTACTGCCCTAATTTCTCCTCCCTCACAGCCAGACTGCCAGCAAGATTCTCCTGACGTGCAGATCTGACTGTCACTCTGCAGCCAGCAAGGCCCTTGGTCAGCACCAAACTGGACTCGGCCACTACGCCGTCGAGTGCTCGCAGGCCAGACAACCTGCAGCAAACCCAGCATGTGTCCAGAGAGTGGCCTGGGCGTCGCTGCATCGGCCCCTGCAGAGTGGACACCCTTCCACTGGCCTGCAGCCTGGCACAGCCAGGGACCACACGGGGGAAAGCAGCACTGGAAACCGTTGCTGGTCTCCGGAGCAGGACGGTGAGCAGCACGTTTACTCGCTCTACTCCGAAAGCCCCAATGAAAGGGCATATTTTTTTTTTAATGTAGCACAGTGAAAATGCCTTCTATTGACATAGGAGAAGTTTTGAGGAATTGCTAGGATGGGAAGCAGCTGCTGCCAGGTTTAGAAGGTGAAACCGGTCACAGCGGTTTGTCCGCCTCCCTGCAAATATCTGGGTAAATGCTGGTAAAGAAGATCAGGAGCCGCCGCTGGTCTGTGTGCAGCTGGCGGCACCTCTCTCTCGGTGCACAGCGGCAGTTTTATGTCCTCTCTTCAGTGATCGATCGATACGGGGTTTCTTCTTTCGCTTGTCTCATAGCACAGGTCATGGCCACAGTGCTGCGCACGTCAGGAGTGACCGTGTGTCCTTATTTTGTTCTCGACTTTAAAGGGTAAGCTCTCAAGACTTACAATGAAGTATGACGCTTGCAGGAAATTTTAGGGAATTTAAGAAAATTCCCTTTTATTTCCAGTCTGATAAAAAAAAATTTTTTTAAATCTTGAATGATTTACACTTGAGTAGAAACTTTTTTTGCGTCTAAGGGATAATCATATGGGTTTTCTACCAAAACAGCCCGGCCCTAGGCACCATCGTCTCCCTGGACTGAGACAGTGTCGTCCTCAACGCTGTTCCTGCCTTTGCCTCCTTCGAGCAGCCGCATCGATCAGACGATGTCACGCCTTGCTCACACCTCCACTGTCTTCCCGTTTCTCCCAGAATAAGACTCAGAGTTCTCACCACGGCCAGGAAACCCGCTTGCTTTGTCTGTGTCCTGGCTGCTCCTCACCTCCAGCTGTGTTTGCTGCTCCCTGTCCCTGAAGCCCTCGGGCCAGGCGGCCACATGGCTCTGCTGCTCACCGCACTCAGATTAGTGTTCAATCGCCGCCTTAGCACGAGGCCTCCCCTGCCCACCCTCTGCAAAGCGGGCCCCAAATTATTCTCCCTCAGATACAGTTTTTGTTTCCTTCCTAGAAGTCACCCTAATCTGTAATCGTTTTATGTATGTGTTTGCGTACTGTCTGTGTCCGCCACGCGAACACGTGCCCCACCTCATTCCTCCGGCACCTCGAAGGCCCCTCTAGCACCTAAAACAGTGCCTGTGTCCTGCATGAATGAATCTGCGGTCCTCGTCTGAGCTCCAGGGGTGCTGCTGGGCCTCACCTGTGCTATTGGGAAAACAGGCCTTGTGGAATTTGCCCATGTAGAACTCCAGGCCGATGATGGCGAACATGAGGATGGCGAAGAAGAGAAGCAGCCCGATCTGCAGCAGCGGAACCATGGCCTTCATGATGGACTTGAGCACCACCTGCAAACCTGGGGCCAGAGCAGACGGGGGCGGGCGGGTCAGAGAGCAGGCGGGGGCGGGACGGGGCAGAGAGCGGAGCGGGCGGGGCAGAGAGCGGAGCGGG